ACTCATCATGAGTACTAAGATCAACATTAAACCCTAACGTACAATACGCTTCAATACGTATCCAATGAAGACTTTTTACCTTTGTTCTCCAATAAAGCCTTTCTACCTTTGTTCATACATTTGTCTACCAGGTATGCTGGATTTTTTTTACCATGTTCCGGCATTCTTCCTAAAAGACTATGGAAAACAGGTATCTTAGAATGACTACACTTTTTAATAATCGTTCTCCATGAAGTTGCTCATTTTCCAGTTTATGCCCTTGTAGATTTCAGCACATGAATGATAGCCCCAGCTCGACCTGGACATATATTGTTTTGTTTCATAGTAGCACATGTTCTACATTACCAACAAACATACAACCTGTCATGCATCATGTTGTGGTAACGCTATGCCGCATCATTCAGTTTGTCGGCGACACAGTTTACCGTCATAGCAGTATGTCTGTCCCATTATTGTTTAAATGAATCCCCAAATCAGGCAAATGCACTTTATCTAGCCTAGCATCTGATAGCTGTGATACAGTATGAATGTCAATATTAGCAAAAACCTTATGTTGAAACATTGACACAATCAGCGTTCACTGAAAATGGAAAAGAAGCCAACGTTTGCTGTATTTTGCTTTTTTTTTTTTTTTTTTTTTTTTTTTTTTTTTTTTTTTTTTTTTTTTTTTTTTTTTTTTTTTTTTTTTTTTTTTTTTTTTTTTTTTTTTTTTTTTTTTTTTTTTTTTTTTTTTTTTTTTTTTTTTTTTTTTTTTTTTTTTTTTTTTTTTTTTTTTTTTTTTTTTTTTTTTTTTTTTTTTTTTTTTTTTTTTTTTTTTTTTTTTTTTTTTTTTTTTTTTTTTTTTTTTTTTTTTTTTTTTTTTTTTTTTTTTTTTTTTTTTTTTTTTTTTTTTTTTTTTTTTTTTTTTTTTTTTTTTTTTTTTTTTTTTTTTTTTTTTTTTTTTTTTTTTTTTTTTTTTTTTTTTTTTTTTTTTTTTTTTTTTTTTTTTTTTTTTTTTTTTTTTTTTTTTTTTTTTTTTTTTTTTTTTTTTTTTTTTTTTTTTTTTTTTTTTTTTTTTTTTTTTTTTTTTTTTTTTTTTTTTTTTTTTTTTTTTTTTTTTTTTTTTTTTTTTTTTTTTTTTTTTTTTTTTTTTTTTTACTAAAGTAGTGATTTTCGCTTGAAGTAGCAATATAATAAAAGAGGAAGGTCAAAGACATAGAACGAATTCATTTTGGAGATAAAACGTTGAAGTCTTCAGTCATAAGTTTGTTTACTTGATGAAGTATATATCTTCATTGCAGCAAACCTGTCTTGATATTTTTGGTCGTTTTTATGATTTTATTACAATGGGAATATACACTAGCAAATATCATATTTAATTGATCATGCAACTTATAACAAGTGCTTCTGTTCAACCAGGCAAGCACCTGTTCCAATCTTCCCAGACAAAGCGTGCGGCTGGAGTGCTATCCATTATGACGTACAACAGATTATTGGTTACACTTTAGTTTCGTAGCATTATATTGTTACATTTTGGATGTAAAGAGCTATTTTAGCATTGTCTGAGTGTAGCGTAAGTTCCACTTCTACCGGGTTCAACAACACTGATCAGAGGAATTCGCGATATCAAAGACTTTACCACAATTAGAAAATAGCGTGAGGTAATACTGTTTTATGTAACGCACTCTTTGTCCCGTATCTTAAGGTCGGGTCTGGTGTTTATCAATCTAGACGGTAAAAATCTAGAATATCTAGATATTCAAATGCCAGATATCATCTATAGAACTGTTTTTTGTCCATCAAGCGGTTAATGTTCCTGTGGTAGACAGTTTCTATGGAGAATTTAACAGATATAAGATATTACACGCATCAGATACAAAAGGAAACATCATGTTGACATGTGTTACGATGTATTTATGCCACATAAACAATCTTTGAATTCACACGTTTTCAAGAAATAATCAAACTGTAACACATACGCGAAATTTATGATGCAGTTTTGATAATCCTTTTATTACAACTTTTGTAAAAAGATAATGAAATTTATTGTAAATATATTGCATATATATTGCTGTTGGAGAAAATCTTACTGTTTTAAAATAACTTGTAACTATGAAAATATCTACCGTATGGGAATGTTTTGAAAAAGAAATATCGCCCAAGTGCATAATGAAAGTAGAAACAACAGAACGAATTCTGATCGTGATAGTGTCGAACACACGATCGTCCTTGACGAAAGCCACTCCATACCTCTACAGGATGTTTATGTTACTAAATGTTTATAGTACATAAACAGAATCCTGGGTAATTTACACCTCCACTTTCTGAGGTCATGAACTCTGGATGTTTGAAAGGTCACAATGTTCTGGAACTGCAACGTGCAGAGCCATGTCTTGACCGTTTTGGCAAACCTTCCGAATGTGTGTTATTGGAATGTGTCTGTGAATCTAAATAATTACTGCTTTTGCTTTTGGTTTATTTCACGTCTAGAAACCAATGAATTATAAACAATTTATGATTTATTTTCCCTCAAGATCTCAATTATTTAAATTCTCTTCCAGACTATTTCAAGTGTTATCGTTACTTTAATTTGCGTTATACAATATTCATTTCATTTGAAAGAAAACTCAATTTCGTTTACAATTATCAACTGTGATCGTAAATATTCAAACGAAAGTGTAAATTTTCACCAGGTGCACCATGCTATTTTATAATAAAGCATTCACAATTTAAAAGAACATTTGAAACAATGCTACGTACAGCAGCTGATCTGGAACGATAATCCTCTCGTGCTGTTAAACATGATATACATACCTTACTTATTAAGTTACCATTATCAACAAACAACGCTGCGGATGATATTAAGTGGCATTTCCAATGAGCTAGCTTTATTACTTTTATTTTTTTGTGCTTTTGTAAAAACGCCGAGACAAAGAGATTTTTGTCTGATGCACTCCCCAATCTGCGTTCTTTGTTAGACATATTGGCTATTCCCATTCTGTTATAACGAAAGCATTAATACTGTACGCTGTGGTCTAGTGTTGTAAGTTTGAGGTTACATAGTACTGTCTGTACAGTACATTTTCGGTGCTTTCTGTTATTGTTACAAGCCCTTTCAGTCCTTTATACGTTTTGGAGTGCCAATATATAAATATTGACCAAAACGACCAATTTTTATATTAAAAAACTTAATTTCTTTCACTGGTTGAGAAAAGCTGGTAGTTCTGGTCTCCTGATAGCTTAATGGAAAAAGAATCTGAAAATGGACATCAAACATCAATATCAGGAAAAAGTACTAGTTATATATTATCTGACCGATCGCTACCTTGTGATAAACATCTTCACCCCTGCGACGTATATATACTAAATGGCAAACCCGTTGGAATCCTGCTTTCGTCGCCATCTTGTCTGACTATTCTGTCAAAACATTTCGTGTATTTTGTCTAAGCACATGTTCACCTCACCGCAGTCATTCATACACATTGCACGTGTATTGCCTGCTGTCAAATCCCACATTGGCGGTGGTTGTGAGGAAGTCAGGGGAAGCAATTGATACAGTGGTATTAAGGTACTCTGGTACTGTATGACGTATCACTGTTTGTATACATATGCTGAGGTCGTTCGTCGTCAGCCACATGTTTGTGTGTATACATAAACATGAACAGAAATAGATAAGCATACACAATTACATTTCATGATGGATAGATAATATTGCTTCATAATCTAATCATAATTATAAAAAAAACTAAGTTTTTACCACTTAGAAATACGTCACATGCAACTCTTATCACATATGAGATAATTTTCTATTAGTTTCTTGTCAAAATTATCGCTCATATCTTGTTACGTTCGCCATCTGTTTGCATGTTATATTATATATATACTGTACCAATGTTTAATCAATATACATGCATGTAAAAGTGCTATCTAGCGATCATACACACCGTGTGAAGAATGATATATTTGTAACAGATATATCAGCTTCGATGTGCTGTCATTAATCGCCACATATCTCCAACTTATTTCAATGTATGCAGTTTATATAGCTTGTACATTAGTACTATGCTGGATGATTTGAAGTTTCAGTCAGTGCCTATTTTTCTTTTGCTTATACTAGTATTAATACCATTCCGTTGAATTTAAGGTTTAGGTCAAGGTTGTGTTTTTCTTCTGTACTCATGGTTGTAGTACAACCATTCCTTTCTTCCGTTGAAACTTTAATTTAGGCAGAGTTCTCCTTCCCTTTCTCCCGCATTCATGATTGTATTTCTACAATTTCTGTAATCAGCTGAAAGTTGTGTTAAGACAAGGCTGTATTTTTCTTTTTCTTTTTTTCTTTTGTATTTAGAATTGTATTTATTTAATTTCTGGATTTAGTTGAAGTTATTCTTAACCACAGGACTGCGTTGGTGTTTTTTTACATGCATTAGGGATTGTTATTTCTTTTCTTTATAATTTTATAATTTTACAATGTTTGTATTCAATTGAAGTTCAGGTTAACAACAACGTTTGATTTCGTTTTCTCTTGTATTTTACGATTCCGTATTTAATTGAAATTTTGGTTTACGACAGGGCTACTATGTAGGCTTCCTTTTCCCTTTAATTCGGGTTTTAATTCTTGCAGTTTGAAGTTATGGTGAACAACAGAGTTGTGTTTCTTGTTCTTGTGTATTCGGGTCTATATTTTTTATTATTATTATTAACCTGAAATTTAGATTTACGAGATTGAATGCACGCATCCAATACCTTTTTGGATGCAACATGCACGTCAGAGGTTCATCTTAAATACACTTAACCTCCTGGTGTTGTTGTTACTACGTTTTAACGAATGTCATTCCATAAAAAGTGACGTCATCCTATTCACATCATCGAATCTGACAAATGATTAAATAGTAGAGTGTGATAGCAGACATGACATTGTGATAACAGTTAGGACAAGTATTGTAACCTTTATCACGAATTTTAAGATATTCTCTAATAAATCTATGAAATACTTTTTTCAATTATTTCTTTCTTTCCAGCGTTGTCTGTGAGGTTTTTGACCAAGAGGTTTATCGGAGAATACGACCAAACAATAGGTATGTATCGCATATGAAAAATAGACAATGTCATAGTCGCAACAGAACCGTAGTTCGAACACAAAATCAATACAATAGGGCAAAATATGAACAAAGGAAAGATTTCCATGGTTAAGAGTACCGAAGTTGAAACTAAAATTCGATATAACAGGGCATGTATGGATAAAGGAAATATTTACATCGTTGGGATTACCGCAGTTTCAACAATTCGCAGTTCGAACTGAAAAATTAATAAAATAGAGCAAAATATGAACAAAGGAAAGATTTCCATGGTTAAGAGTACCGAAGTTCAAACTAAAATTCGATATAACAGGGAAAGTACATGTATGGATAAAGGAAATATTTACATCGTTGGGATTACCGCAGTTTCAACATATTCGCAGTTCGAACTGAAAAATTAATAAAATAGAGCAAAATATGAACAAAGGAAAGATTTCCATGGTTAAGAGTACCGAAGTTGAAACTAAAATTCGATATAACAGGGCATGTATGGATAAAGGAAATATTTACATCGTTGGGATTACCGCAGTTTCAACAAATTCGCAGTTCGAACTGAAAAATTAATAAAATAGAGCAAAATATGAACAAAGGAAAGATTTCCATGGTTAAGAGTACCGAAGTTGAAACTAAAATTCGATATAACAGGGCATGTATGGATAAAGGAAATATTTACATCGTTGGGATTACCGCAGTTTCAACAATTCGCAGTTCGAACTGAAAAATTAATAAAATAGAGCAAAATATGAACAAAGGAAAGATTTCCATGGTTAAGAGTACCGAAGTTCAAACTAAAATTCGATATAACAGGGAAAGTACATGTATGGATAAAGGAAATATTTACATCGTTGGGATTACCGCAGTTTCAACATATTCGCAGTTCGAACTGAAAAATTAATAAAATAGAGCAAAATATGAACAAAGGAAAGATTTCCATGGTTAAGAGTACCGAAGTTGAAACTAAAATTCGATATAACAGGGCATGTATGGATAAAGGAAATATTTACATCGTTGGGATTACCGCAGTTTCAACAAATTCGCAGTTCGAACTGAAAAATTAATAAAATAGAGCAAAATATGAACAAAGGAAAGATTTCCATGGTTAAGAGTACCGAAGTTGAAACTAAAATTCGATATAACAGGGCATGTATGGATAAAGGAAATATTTACATCGTTGGGATTACCGCAGTTTCAACAATTCGCAGTTCGAACTGAAAAATTAATAAAATAGAGCAAAATATGAACAAAGGAAAGATTTCCATGGTTAAGAGTACCGAAGTTCAAACTAAAATTCGATATAACAGGGAAAGTACATGTATGGATAAAGGAAATATTTACATCGTTGGGATTACCGCAGTTTCAACATATTCGCAGTTCGAACTGAAAAATTAATAAAATAGAGCAAAATATGAACAAAGGAAAGATTTCCATGGTTAAGAGTACCGAAGTTGAAACTAAAATTCGATATAACAGGGCATGTATGGATAAAGGAAATATTTACATCGTTGGGATTACCGCAGTTTCAACAATTCGCAGTTCGAACTGAAAAATTAATAAAATAGAGCAAAATATGAACAAAGGAAAGATTTCCATGGTAAAGAGTACTGAAGTTGAAACTAAAATTCGATATAACAGGGCATGTATGGATAAAGTAAAGATTTACATCGTTGGGATTACCGCAGTTTCAACAAATTCGCAGTCCGAACTCAAAATTAATAAAATAGAGCAAAATATGAACAAAGGAAAGATATCATAGTGCCAACATTACAACCTTTCGGATTGAAAATGTATGGCATGAAATGTATATCTGCCTTCAAAGTTAGCTCTTGGTACTTAACTGATCTTGATAAAGAACCCCTACATCTACTTTGGAGTCTAATAATAATGTTTGCCTCCAAATCAAAGGCGTTTTCTTTATGGCTACTAAGTAGTAATTGATTCAGCATGTGCAAAATATATTATATAATTTCAACAAACGACGTAAAATTCTTTCCCACAACCAATACAGTATCGTCTCAGTTTAATGGCAGGTTGTTATCAACAACCTCCAATTATCAGAGTATTACATAATCATTTTTATTCCGAACATTATCCAAGAGAGGGCTGAACCGGACTAATGAGCATAAAATACTCATAAACGAAGTCGCAGACAATTTATGTAGACATCCACATAATAACGGGCTTCACTTTTTATGGTTTTTAGAAATTTGTGCAAATTTTGAACAATATTAACAGTTCTAGAAAAGTTAGTTTTTAACTTAAGCTTTTAATAAATTCAAAATAATGATCTACCTCCAAGAAAAGTGAGTTATTAAAGAAATTGTTGTTTGGCCTATATACTGAGGAAAAAAATCGGTTATCGAAAACTATATCGTATTTGAAGGTTGAACGCAATTCCGTCTTACAAAGTACTATAATCGTAGAGACAGACACGCGTGCTATAGTGAAGTGAGGCGTTATTATGAAGTGCTACAAATATGCCATACTTCCGAAGCCTGCACGTGCATGTACACGTTTACCATCTGTCGGTACGTGTAGGTGGTACGATCGTGTACGCACGCCGCACGTAGGAGGCATATAACACCGTTACTGACCTGAACACATCGCTATTTGATCGTATAACATGTACAATTCGCACCTGTATTTATAGACTGCACATGGGTCAAAGGGGTTTTATCCATCACTAGATTTGCGCACTTCAATGTATTAACGCTCGCCACCTATATGTTTAAACCGAGGCCAGTCGACTTTTTAACACCAAACCACAAACATGTATTCATTTAGCATGTGTCAGAGAAACATCGTGACGGAATCATTACAGTTTTTGACACATATCGTTTGATGTTCTGTGATTAACACGTCATTAACCCGTCAAAAACACGCCCGATTTGTACTTTGTTGGCTGGAAATGGTACATTTGTATTCGAAGAAACCTCACATGGTACAAATAAAATGTATAGGTTCCTCATTTTCGTTCGCATCTTCAAAAGGCACCACTGCTTAGCCCTTGTCATATTTCCATATACCACTCCTCTTTAAACCAGACATAACCAGCTAATACGTTAGTGTAACAAAAAAAGTAAATCGAACCTTAAGTTGATAAAACTAGGGCAAAAGATGAACAAAGGAAAGATTTATATAGAGACTTTGGAAAACCACAAGGAGAATTTAAAGTTAGTTTTCCGGAAAAGAAAAAAGCGTCTTCTACTTCATCGTCGACATTTTCCATGTAAAATAAGGTCAATTCCAAGTAATTCAGGTCCTCCAAATAAGAACTGGTGTAGTGAAAACGATACAAGGCACACTGAAGAGCTAAACAAAACAAAACAAAAAATATGTTATCACAAAAGAAAGTCATATATATTTCTTAATATAATGATGATGGCAACGATAAAGCTTGAACAATGTACGTAGTATTTGCCTGTCCTAGCGTGTGTTGCAAAATCACAGAGGTTTTGATAATCAGAGCAAGATCTTGATAACTAAATCAGCAGTGACACGATAACATTGTAGCCCAGTGGGGGAAAGTTTGTACTCGGTAAATCGAAATCGGCATGGTACCTCTCGTGTCTTTTCGAACATTCTTTCCTTTCCGCTTTCTAGGTAGCGTTCCACCAAATAACACTCGTACACAAACATTACATACAAAACATAACAAAATACCTACCAACTGTATATATACATATGCGAGCGTGACACATCGTACAACTGAGTAGTAAGTCGTCCTTGTTAGCCATTTTGTAAATAAAGATGGGGGAGGCAGATGATGCATAAGTCCTTGCCGTTGATTTTCATGTTCAGGATAGTATATACGATCGACCGTATTAGTTAACACACCGCATCTCCAGTATATCTGAGAGTGAAACTGAAAGACTTGGCCAGGTTTTTATCAAAAGAATATAGGAACGGTACATGTACTACGGCCTCCCTTTTTCTATGAAAGTTGTTTACTTTGTAAAATGGTAAGCTTATCTTTGTTTCTGTTCTCTTGTAGAAAGTAAATATAAATATACAACAGTGGTCGACACAGAATCCATCACATTCGAAATCCTCGACACCATATCAGATGTGAGTGATCAAGTCAAAAGCCATTGTTTGTTGTTTATGTTACATATCTTACCTGTACAATATAATGTATCGTTTTTTCTCTTTTTTATACCTGCCATTTTTTTATAATTTGTTTTTTGCTTTGTTTAGAAAAGATACATAAGCATTTTGATGACGTGTTTTAGCCCCTGATTGATTTTCTTTGAAAAGTTTCTTCCACATATATTTCAGGAGCCACATTCCAAAGCTAAAACCTTTTTAAAATTCTTGTGAATTATAGGAGTTGATATAACTTAACATTGTGACATCTGTGTAGAAAACGTGAGTCGACAACATATATATGTATATCTGTAAGGCAGAAAATTGACATGGACAAGGAATTTCTGTAAAAAAAATCATACATGTATATGCGTTTTCACTTCCATAACCTATTTATCGAAAAAATGCCATCTATGTAATTTGTATTGAATTTCAATGATAAATATCACAACGAGATTTTGAACACATAAGAGAAACACCTTTAAAATACTACAATTTCTAATGTTTTATCTAGTAATTTCCATTTCGTCATATCGTATTCCAATCTTTTCTTCATTGTGATAAATGAATATCAAATTATCTCATCAAAGCGGAGCTTGTCGATGTATCAAATATAATGATACTGACCAGTTGCAATACTTTATGTCACACTTTCAATCCCGTTGTCATGGTTGCAGAGCGAGGATTGTGGCGCTCGTGATGACGTATTACGATGGGGCGACGGATTCATGTTGGTGTATTCTGTTGTCAGCCGGAAGTCGTTTGATGTCCTACAGGAGGTCAAACGGAAGATAGAAGAAGCCAAGAAAGGCTCCCCGGCGCCAATTTTAATGGTTGGCAACAAATGTGATCTGGCTCATATGCGCCAAGTTACTAAAGATGAAGGTAAATGACAGTACAGAGAAGATATTGTTATTGGCGATGTCAACTTTAACCTATCAAGAAAAGATAGAAGATTTGACCAAAAATAATTATCTATATATATGACGCTACCAAAATAAAAGAATAAAGAGGAGATTTTTTTTTAAGATTGACATATTTATTTGGGCAGCAGATTTGCTCTCCTCGGTGTTCCACATAGGTGAATATAAGCCCCCTGATTCTGCAGGGGCTCCAGTATAACACAATCAGCGTGAAATTCAGAGGACGTTGCTGATTACGAACCAGAACACCGCAGAATAAAGCAATACGTTTTCTTCACGTTTCATTTATAATACGCAACAGTACTAGTATATAACATTATTTTTCTAACATAGCATCATCTGGAATACAATATTAACATAGGGTTAAACTTTGTATGTATAGGATAGTATATACATGTTAACCGTATTAGACTTACGTTCATGCGTGTCTAAATGATTTCTTGCTAAGAAAATTGTTCGAAAAAGTGAAAAAATAGCGTAATAGTATGTTGACTGTCGACTAATGGGGCGAGCAAAGTGTCAAACGTTATGAAAATTAGTTCACAACAATTGTAAACATTGATAAGTAAAACATCTATTTGACCGTCTTGAAGGAAATTCAATAAATGTTAATCTGTTTTATTCATTCCTCTCCCTTTCGATGACCGACAGTTGTGTGCAAGTGCATTTTTACGCTTGTCATGGACTACACTTGAAAAACTGGCGCGCATATAAGACCAATATCTACACAGACAAGACAGTAGATCAATTTCTTTATTTCGATATTTGTCATGTACAATGTAAATTGAATAAAATACATTTTAAACTGAGCAATTTTTTTTTCAGTTCATAACTATTAAGCTTATGAAGATTAAATTGAAGTTTTTATTCTCATGACATTTTCTTTTCGAGTATTTATACCTTATTATTACCTCCCTTGTTTATCTTACAGGTGAGAAACTGGCTCTGGAATTCGGTTGTACGTTTGTGGAGGTTTCTGCCTCAGAGGATGTCAGTCAGGTAACGGAGGCCTTTCACGCCCTCTGTCGAGAAGTTATCGAATTCAAGCGAAGGTCAAGAACATTTTTAGACCGAGTCTTTGGTGCATTTGGAAGAGAGAAAGCGTCTTCCTGACACAGATCAATCATGGTTAAAAGTTAAATGGACACAATTATCTAATATCGCTCCACTATTCACGTTTTAAAGATTCATTCTGAGGAGTGACATGTTTGTTGGACGATAACAACGGTGGTAGATACAGACAATAAGGTGCACACTTCATCACTGCGCATGCGCACACTTCCCTGTATCCTGAGTTATCAGGAGCAACGTGTGCTTTACAAACACATTCGTGATTAGGACAGAGCAGCGTCTGGTACAGCACTAGTCGGGAAGTTACACATTACAGATTAAGGTTTATCATTATGTTGTTTGAGAACGTATGTTCATATTTATATATATTATCATTAAATGTATTTCAAATTGTTATCTGAGGTCTTTTGTTGTGGAATCTAAAAAGTTAACAATATATAGCTATGATAACTCCAGCGATGCCTACGTCAATATAAGACATGCTTAACGTACATGTACATGATCCAGAAGAGATAATAATGATAGTTTACATATGTTTTCCTTGTGTAAGGGAAACATGAAAATGTGTTTCCCCCGAGATTAATCGTGTTCCTCAAAGGGCGTGTCATCACACAACATATGGACGAGATGTAAATATCATGAAAAAAATGCTATTTTAATCATATCACATGATAACCTTGAAAGATGTAAGTAACTTTCATTGTATACAAAATGTAACTGGCAGCAAACCATAAACACTTAATATTATAATTTCTCATAAAGATGGATTCGTCTGGTTTTTCGCTTTCTTAAGTAGCATTGACATACGTTTCTTGTGGTAATATGTTAGCAGGTATATACCATTATATGACATATATAACGCTTTAATTGCGTTTTGATTAGATAAACTTCAAACAATTCCAACTTAATTGACTGTAAGCGGATCAATGGCACATATTTTCTTTGAGAGATTTAGGATTAGTTCACTTTTAAATTCAAGGGTCGCCAGTGTTTACCTTGGGTCGACGTGTATGATTACAATGTACAAATGTACTTGTTTATACTAAGGCAATGCGCCAAATAACATTATAGTGGTTCAATGTAGTTACATACATGTTTCATGAGCCTGAACTTTTTTTCTTAATTTTCTACCTCTAACTTTGCATTTTCTTAAATCAATGGCATTTATATAGAAATGTAGGAAAAAAATACTGGTAAAACAATAGCACTACTTTTCATATACAGTGATGTGCCATACGTCTTTCAAGTTACTTCATTTTCAAATTTGATTCCATGTTTTTTTACTTTTTTTTAATATTTTTTGTGACTTTGTTTGACATCTAATTTCGATAAACCTGACGTCCTGGTTGGGAGTGATCCAGTGTTTCCTCTGGTAATATTTATATTATTATCCGTGGGTCAGTTGTTGAGATATCAGTTTTCATCCCAGCATAAAAGATGAACTTTGACATCATTTCAATAGACACAATATTAAATTTTGCCTTAGAATATGTTTTGCCAAGTTACCGTTCATGGTTACTATTCTATCAAATGGATAATTACATAAATATTACGAAGAGAAGCACTAAATAATTATCTAGCTTTTTGCTGAAATTCATCAATTGTTTACTTAAAACGAAACAAGGAAAATCAATTTTCCAATAGTAAATTAACATAGATTTCAATGGGAAAATGACGTAACGTGCAAGGCGTATGGCACATCACAGTATACATAAAAAAATATTGCTGAAAAGTGACGTCAATGCATTTGTCGATGAGATGAGAATTGTGCATGTACATGCAACAAATTTTCGGTAAATGTAAGTCTAACATTTTATGAGAAATCTGTGCCAACTATGTTTTTACAGATTTATTAAGTAGTGGGCGTATAATGTATACCTCACCAACATTTATTATTGCAAGATATTCAGAAATTGAGCACGAGATGACCTGTACATATCTTTTGACTTATGTAGTTAAAACTCAATCAAGTCGACGCGTCAGCAGAGTAGAACTATTTCTCTGATTTTCGCCTACGCATCTCAGATCTGAGGGTTCTCGACCTAAACCGAACTTCCGTGTTGAGGTCGAGATAATTGGAACACTGTAATAATGGATACATTAGCTCGGACCTAAGAGGGGACCCTTCCCTTACAGCTGTATCAATGCGAACTCCGTACTACCTAGCCTTTCTGTTATTTACCATCACCGGAGGCAGCACACACTCTCTCTAGGGTTCATTAGAATTAGAACCATAGACTATATTGGGGTTTTGAAAGCCCTACAGATGTTTGTTATAGAATATTTCTTAAGTCTCATGCATAGGAGAATCTCTTCATGCAAACGATTAGATTTGTTTTGGAATTCTAACCGTTCTATTCCGTCGGACGATTCCTGGAATGTTCTTTGATTGCCGGAAACAAAATATATGAGTGGGTGTTATCGATGTTGTATGCGGAACCAAATGGGGGATTGTTCATAGACTTCCCTTTATTACGTCATAGCTCGTAGAAAACTATCTTATCAATTTGGACATGTCTTTAGTTATGTAGCAACCATATTTGAAACAAAACAAAAGTTTCTGCATGTCACTGTTTAAAACTGTATATTTACATTTGCATGGCATTGTCACTATATAGCCTCTTTGAAAGCTGTGTCGTTGATGGGACTTTAATTACCATGCATCACGAGACACAATTCTTAGCGTATTAATACAACACTGACCGGAACTACAATATCCAATATAAATAAACATGACGGCTGCTGAAATATCGCTGGGCATTGTGAGATTTGACAATGTCATTGTAAATTTATGTGCAAAATAAAAAATAAAATAAAAAACACTTTTATTACAACGAAAACAAGACCAAGGTCTGCAATATCGTACAAAATGCACATCGGTTGAAATCACCAATGCCGGCAATGGAAACAATTTTAACGCTCATGCAATTTATCAGAAATATCGTCTGTTACACTGCACTGATCAACAGGGGTTCGTTACAAATGTCTGAAATACACATATTCTATAGACCTACTGACACATATGTTACAGACCTACTGATATGAGTCACAGCACACATAAACATTTCAGACATTTGTAACGAACCTGTGCTCCGTCGCAAGATCACTCACTTCAAACGCTATCAGTTTCACGCGTCTCGCATCCACGGTTCCTCAGTTTCTGACGACATGTCAAATAACGAGGCTGTTATAGAATCTACCGACTGTTGTCAGGTTCCCATACAATCAACAAATACATTCACGCCTGGATTCTTCACAAAATGAGCAAAGAGAAAAGTTCGAATTAACTTCCAAAAATAACTCCCTCGTGGAGGGCAAGGTCGGATTTACGGTGTTCACTGTATTTGTCCATGCGCGAAATTTGTTCCGGGGAAAAATCGAAACAATTTCAAATCTAACTTTCAGCTCAGAGTTCTATTGATAAACTTAAATCACCCTATAGACATATCATACGCAATTGTATTGATACTGAATTGTGGAATAAAATTGAAGTGTTTGTTAAAATTTCAAAGTACTACTTTGTTTGCCAATCAGCACGCGACAATACGCTGTTCAAACAATTGAACGAAATTGTGTGGACTGTCGATAAGGCTGGCATTTTTAATTTTAAATATAAATTATAAGTTAAAAAAGAACATAAGAGGCAGAGAAAACGTAAATATAAGTATTGAACTGTTTTTGTATGGTATTTATGATCTATTTGAATGACACAGCTTTGCAAGGAAACAAATCATAATGCGCTAGCGCGCTAGCGCGCATTATGTTGTTTGCATACCACCTTTCACATGGTAGCAACTATTTGTGACAAAGCTACCTCCCTTAATCATGTATTTCAGGCCGTCGCTATTACCAACCGAGTGTCGAAAGCGAATGCCGCGCGGCAATCGTAATTGACACTCCTTGGAAATCGGTTACCTGTCGAAGGACTCGCAAAACTAAATACTTTATTGTAATTTATTACTTAGCTTTTGAGCTAATAGTGTTAATATATGAAGTTCAACACTAGTGACAACTGTCTAGATTCACAGATACATACCTGCCAAAGGCTTTAAAAGGCATTTTTGGTGAGTTAACTAGCATATAAAAACGGTACAGCCGTCTGCTTTTGACAACCAGAAGTTTACAAGCCAAACCGGTGAAATGGGACGTGAACATCCCCTGACATTTGACCCCATATCAATCCGCCATTACAGTTTACAATCTACTAAAACTTTACATTTTTCTAAAGTTCAATATCTGTAGATTTAATTCAATGTAAAATATATCAACAATTACCTATCTTACTTACTCAGAGGCACTGTATTAAACCGGAACAAATTTTAGGTAGGGATTACAATCGCATGAAACACTTGCTGATTGGCTGATTTAGTTGTGTGAGATCTTAAAAGGAAAATGTTACATTTTAACATGTTAAAATAAAGTTACTGTTTGAAAGTATATACATTACTGAGTAAAATGGTGAAGTTTGGTCGAAATAAAATAATAAGTTATGAAGAAAAACCAAGTTATAGCCCCTGATGTACAGCATTCAGATTCAGCACCAAACAATTCTCATTGAAACATTTATTACCCATACCACTCACATATTTCTGAAAAGAAATCTTGGTACCTCTGTTTCTGTAAGTTTAACAGTATCTTAAGTAATCAAATAATTTATTTTAGTAAATTTGATAGAATTTTGACAATTTAACACACTTAGAATTCACACAAAACTCCAAAATTCTACACATAACATGAGTCATAAAATGTAATCAGATATTCATCTTAACTGATCAGCTATCAATTACACAGACTTACATATAGCACTTCTTGCTCCCTGGGGTGCCGGCACTTTACAGGGAGAATATTGGGGGTAGGGGAGATGTAATGCTATAAACAGCTAATTGTCTGAGTAAACACACAACAGAAGCACATTAAATCATTACACAATATGTTGGTCAAAGTATGTATTGTGACAGGAATAAAAATAAATCTACAATTGAATACAAAAAAAGGAATTTACAAAATGTAAGTTAGATTTAGCCAAAAAAACTATATGTGACACACAAATATAAAGAGTCACATGTGCATCTTCTGTAACAGCTTGTGCTGTGGTGCTGAGGGGCTACTTGCTGTTCATAGTCTTGTTGTTCACGGTATATAAGTTATGAAGAGACAACCTATCCTTGATGAAAATAGAAAATTCAAAAATGATAAGACTCAACAAAAAACATTTTCAAATCTGGGGAGGCTGAATATGAAAATATGACAGCACAACTTCATGCAGAAGCCAGCTAACAACTCTCATAGACTTGGAATGAGCACATTTATTACACCGAACAATAAAATGGTGCTCAATGCAAAATTGTGCTTTTAAATGTGTGTATAATGTCCTATGTAACTTGTGCTAACATCTGT